TTCAAAGAAATTCCAGGCATCACTGCTGAACTGATGCCTGCAGTCTTAGGTATTATGCAGAATAGGAAGGGAATTGAAGAATAGGAAAGAGATGTGTGTGTATATATGAATATGTGTTATATATACATGTGTGTGTGTTCCAATTTTCAAAAGGGGGAGGAAAATGGATTCTTCCATCTATAGTCTGGAAAGCTTCAGTTCAATTTACAGCAGAAATCTGAGAATGCACTATTGAAGGGATAATTTCTAAACAGAAAGGAAACTAATGATTACTACAAATCAGCATGAGTACAGCAAATATATACCATGGAAGACTAAATCCATTTAATTTTGACCAATAGATTAGGAGAATGCTATAGACACTGTATGCCTGGACTTAAGCAAGGTATTTAACAAACCTTTTATGGTATCTTTGTAGATGAAATGAAGGAATGGTTATTAGACATTTAGATGGATTCAAACATGGTTGACGAGTAGATCCAAAGAGCTCTGATTAATTGCTCAGTGTCAACATGGAGGTGGATCTTTGGTAGACTATCCCAAGAAAGCTTGGCCCTCTTTTCATCAACATTTTTATCAGTGATTTATACAATTATGGAGAATATTTCTATGAAATTTGAAAATGATAGGAACAAGATGGGACTGATAACACATCAGATGATAGCATTGGGAGCCAACATGATCTTAATAGGTTGAATTTAAATAGATATTTTAAATAGCATATCTCTCTTGGAAGATTGTTTAAATAATAATAGTTTAAATTCTTGGTGTGAGATAGCTTTCTACTTGAATATAATGAAGTATCATCAGGCAATAATGTGTAATATCTACTGGTTCCTTCTCAAGCCTAAAAACATATCTATGTCTCTCTTCTCATCTAAAAACATTAATCCTACTCAATCCTACCATTCCTGCTGGCTATTATTGTAACTTCTCCTTTTCTGATCTAACTCTTTGAGAAAACCATCTACACTTGCTGACTACACTTCCTTTCTTCTCATTTGATTCTGAACCCTCTGCAGTCTGGCTCTTGACTTCATCATTCCACTGAAACTGCTCTCCCCAAAGTCACCAATGGTCTCTTAATTGGCAAACCTAATGGCCTTTTCTCAGTCATATTCCTTCTTGACTTTTCTGACAACATTGATCACCATTTCTTTCCAAATTCTCTCTCCTCTCTAATTTTTCATGCACTTATTTCCTCTTAACTGTTTGACCACTCTTCAGTTAGATCTTCATCCAGGTCATGCTCACTAACCATGGTTTTCCCTCAAAGCCCTGCTTTGGTCCCTCTTCTCTTCTCTTTTCTCTTCTCTTCTCTCCTCTCCTCTCCTCTCCTCTCCTCTCCTCTCCTCTCCTCTCCTCTCCTCTCCTCT